GAGAGAGAGAGAGACAGAGAGAGAGGCTGAGAAGACATCCACAAGGTAAATTCTGAAGAATTGGATTCAAGCTTGGTTTTTCTCTCTGCTGTGATTTCCAATTAAAACAACATTATGTTAATTATAGCCAGTTATACCAGTTAGATCCAGTTAGTAATTATACATTGTTACCTGAGCGTGTGTCGTTGGATGGTGGAAGGGACGGAGAGATCTATCTATCTGTCACGCCCTGACTCAGGGGACTCGTATATGTTGAGTCAGGGTGTGTATGTTCTATGTTGTGTATTTCTATGTTGGTTTTCTAGTATGTATAGATCTATGTAGGCCGGTGTGGTTCCCAATCAGAGGCAGCTGTCGCTCGTTGTCTCTGATTGGGGACCATACTTAGGCAGCCTATTGGCACTAGTGGGTTGTGGGATCTTGTTCCAGTTAAGGTATGTTGTGTTGTGCTGCCTTGGACTTCACGTTTCGTGTTGTTTGTTGTTTTGTCGTTGTGTTTATTATTTTAATAAACATGTTGGCATATCACGCTGCGCCTTGGTCCGTCCCGTTCATCAACGAACGTGACACTATCTATCTGTCTGTCTGTCTGTCTATTTACTGTATCTATGATATTTCAAAGTATTTTACAACATGCCAACTTTCACACAGGAAATAAGCCACTTTAATTCAACTTTCAACCCAGAGCTTTTGTCTGCTCCTTTTCCAAACTTCTTGGTGTCACCTCGTAATCTAAATTGAAACGATACAAATAATAACACTTGTAAAGAGTTTATAACTGGTACCACATGTGGGAGATGAGGCGATGGAAAGCACAAAGCCCTATCTGATTCAGTGAATGATTTCACAGCGACTCAAGCAGTGCCAAATGAACTCCAGGTTACAATAATACCACTGGTGGGACAATTAAGATGGCATAAACACTGCATGCAGAGCTGGGATACCAGGGTAAGAGTTCTCTCCCTCTCTCTAACACACACACGCACGCACACACACACACACATCCTCACGTACTTTGTGCCCCCTCAGATTTTTGGGGTGCATGACGCCCCTGCACACACACACACACACTCTCCCCACACCATTGACACCCTGGTGGATGGGTTGGTCGGGGTGTAAGACCTTCACCGTGTCTCACCCTGTATTCATCCATCATGGTGGGGCGAAGGCTAACCTGACAAATAGACAATATCAACAGCAGCTGCCAGGGCTAGGATAATGAATAAAGCTGGTAATCTGGGGGAGCAATAAAGACACACACACACAGCAGAAAGGGAGGGAGGGGGGAGGGGGGGAGAGGGGGAGAGGGAGGGAGAGAGAGGGAGAGAGAGAGAGAGAGAGAGAGAGAGGGAGGGAGGGAGGGAAAGAGAGAGAGAATACAACATGTGATGGAGACACACATACGAGTGCACACACACACACCCCTCAACACCTGCCACAGGCTCTCTGTCATATGCGGGTGGAGTGTATGTGTGAGTGTGGACAGGATGTTTTAGGGGCTGTAGTGTGAATACATGTTTCCTCTGATGGAGAGCCAGCATGTTCCTTAAAGAGAGGGGACACAAGTGTGTCTCACCTAAACCCTTGGGGTGCATGTGTGTGTGCATGTGTGTGTGTAAGGGTAGAAAACATACTTAGGCTGGGATTCATTCCGATCCGCGCTAGATATTTAAAGATAATTTCTAATTGAGCCGACATCTGCAGCGTTTACCTTGAACGCAATCTCCACAAACACGGTAACATTGCCTTTAAAGGCTGCGTTGTCTACAAGCGCGATCGGATTGAATCCCAGCCCTACTTTCCCACAGCGTGATTGAACGAGAACATGTGCCCTGGTGCACGGCATGGTGGCTTGGTGATTAGTGTGTATACTGTGTACACATGTGGCTTCTGTTGGATCATGTGTCCCCCCCCCCCCCCCCCCCCCCCTCCGACTTCCTTTAAAGAACTTCAAAAGGCCCCGTGGCGGTGGGTGCATGTTTGCCTGCAGCTTGCCTCTATAGACAAAGACTGTGTGGGCATTAAAGCTCTGAGCTCCATAGAAAAAAAATAAAACACGCATTACATGAGCCTTTACACAGTATACATAAAAGTGTCCATGTGCTCTCCCCACTCCCACACAGACATACAGAATGTAGACATTAGTCCAAACAGACCCAACGTGGGTCTTTGCTCATTCGTTCATCTGTGGCGCTATGCTAATATGATTAGCCTGGATTATGGTAATGAGGGACGATGCTGGGCGGGATGTTGCGCTCCTCGTTTGGGGGACGAGATAATTGGTTAGGCTGCTTTGATGTTCCCGGGGTGGGAGGGGAAAGAGAGGCGAAGAGGGGACTGTATGTGTGTGAGGGGGTTGTGAGATTCTGACAGTTTTTATTTTTGGCATTGGAGGGTTGTGTTTCAAGGCCCTGTGGTTTGACTCCAGGACTGAAGGCTGTTCTGTTGTTCTACCCTCTCTAACCCCCATCCCTTCACCTGATCAGGGTATTGATGTATAACTCCTCATCCCTTCACCTGATCAGGGTATTGATGTATAACTCCTCATCCCTTCACCTGATCAGGGTATTGATGTATAACTCCTCATCCCTTCACCTGATCAGGGTATTGATGTATAACTCCTCATCCCTTCACCTGATCAGGGTATTGATGTATAACTCCTCATCCCTTCACCTTATCAGGGTATTGATGTATAACTCCTCATCCCTTCACATGATCAGGGTATTGATGTATAACTCCTCATCCCTTCACCTGATCAGGGTATTGATGTATAACTCCTCATCCCTTCAACTGATCAGAGTATTGATGCATAACCTGGCACTCCTCAACACACCAACTGATCCGAACAGGATTAGAAGGAGATAGAGCTTTAGCAGATATACATAACTCTACACCCAAATAAACCACAACAATTAACCCTATGAAACCCTGCATATCTTTATGTAACGGTGCATTACACTATAAAGACGGACCGCTCGGTTATATACATTACTAGCCCACACAAATCCCTGAGCGGCTTGGCTGAACCATGGTGGATGTCCTTAAGAGCAGGCATGGCAAACATCATAAAGACAACACCCACAGGACTGTCACAGGACGTCTGACAGTAAGCAGAAGTGTCATATAATATACTGTAGCTTCTGTTGGCAGCTAAACTGGGGGTTGTGAGAATTATGGTATTTCCTGTAACAATTCTGGGTTTCATTGATAACATTTATATATTGTAAATGTAAATGTATGTTTCTCTGTACATCGAAAGGGGATGGATATTTATATAGCCAATGTAAGTCCTGTCTAAAGGTACCCTAGGAGGGGCATAGATTCACCCAAGTAAACCTCTATAATTTCAAACATCAGAATCCAGTTTCTCCAGTGAGAAAATAAATAACCATATTCAACATTAACTTTCAGATAGAAAATAGCTACAATGACAGATAAACACTGAGCATCCTTAATATAAAACCACAAATCACTTCAAAAGGCAGGAGAATTTACAATAGAGCTGCTGTCCAGTAATGACTTCAAACCAATTTAAAGCTATTTATACTAGCATGATTATACATTGCACATTTTTTTATGATTTCAAATTAAGGATATACCAGTCGTGGTGGAGTACTGTATGATTGATCAACAACAAGACAATGCTTCTTAAGTAAAAATCTTGCAATTTTATTTGCATATAAAAGCAGCTAAATATATCACAATGAACTGAAAGAAAGAGAGACCAGACCTACAAGGAAGAAACTACCAGCCAGAGAAACAGAAGAGACAAATAGCTAGAGAAAGAAAACAGAGCGCAAAGGAGCATTTACAGTTGCAAAGTTGAGACAGCTTTTGGCAACATTATTTTGTGCTAGCAAGATTGCATTTACACACAGTGCAAAATGAGAAGAAAGCTATAAAAACACAAATACTATCAGATTTACAATCGAAAGGACAACTAAAACTTTTTTAGGCAGGTGTGTTGTAAAAGAAAACCAACCCCACCACCTGTCGGATATTGAGTCTTAAACTCTAAAAACATTTCCTCTCTCATCCATGAACCTCTACCTTAGGGGCCTCCAACTCTGGTCCTGGGCAGGCTTTTGTTCCCAGCACTAAAAAACCTCCATCAAATAAACAACTACATTATATAGGGTGATGTGTGTTCCTGCTGGACTGGAACAAAAGCCTCCACCCCAAATAGCACTCAAAGACCCTAACAGTGGGAGTAAAACATGAACATTAAAGAAACGTTTGAAGAACATTTGATGGGAGTGGCAAAGGAAGAAGCTAAATCAAATCCAGGCAAAGACACAAGAAAGAAAATCCCAAAAGGATGTTTTGAACCAACAACTTTTAGTACAGATATTTTACAACATGAATACAGTATCTATATAAATATACATACTTTATTTTCTCCACATGTATCAGAATTGCAGATGGTAGATGTTAGAGTTATCTCAAGCGTATCATTTGCTAGATTTCTTTCCCTGCTCTGTGTGGTGTAGTTTGATTGGGTTAACAATAAATAAGGTCTTTCTCTGAGCTTGCAGAGAGTGAGGCTCTAGCTGAGAACGGTAAAGCTAGTTTAAGGCATCGTCCCTGTCAGCCAATCAGAAAGCAGAATTGTCCAGGAAAACAAAATGAAACCGAACACAAAAAACAAGGACGTTCAAAATCAACAATGGCATCCAATACCGATGTTTCCAGCAAACACAAACCCCAAAAACTAATGAAATTGTACAAATTCACAAAGCATCATTTATCTTACAGATCCGACTGCTTTTTCTTCAATAGCTAGATTGTATAACCACTCAGCACCCTATTATCTGCCCACCCACCCACCCCTAACCCTATACCCTCCCCACACTTTTTCACTTTACAGCTTACAAAAGAACAATATTTGAGAGAAACACTTAGTATAACTATTTAGACATTATTTGTTAGAAAAAAAAAAGTGTTTATTCTGGCCGACAACCCCCGCACCCCCACTTCACCCTCTGGGTCAGAGGTCATTCTCAAGAGCTGGAGGAGGGGTTGGGCAGGTCGAACACGATTGGGGGGTTGGTGGGCTGGAAGCTGACCGTGCACGTGGAGGAGTTGATGAACGTCGTGCAGCCGTCAGTCATGATGCCATACCCTGTGGAGGGAGAACGCATCATCAGCACACGCTACGGGGAAGTCCAACGGATCATCAACATTGGACATGAAGTGAGAAACCGTATTGTCTAACTGACTAATCAAAACCCCACAGGGTGCGTTCCTTTCCGAGAGATTTCTTTAATTGTCTCTCCTCTGAACTCCTCATTTCTACACCTTTAATAAAAACATAAAGGAAGGAAGGAGGTAGAAAGAGGAGGGTGGGAGGTATACTGTAGGTCTCATCTGGTGAGCACCTCCATCCCTGTCTACCCCTACCCAGTCCCCAACACCACACCACCTCCATCCCTGTCTACCCCTACCCAGTCCCCAACACCACCACCTCCATCCCTGTCTACCCCTACCCAGTCCCCAACACCACCACCTCCATCCCTGTCTACCCCTACCCAGTCCCCAACACCACACCCCTTCCCTGTTCTACCCCTACCCGTCCCCAACAACCACCACCTCGCATCCCCTGTCCCCCCCCCTACCCAGTCCCCAACACCACCACCTCCATCCCGTCTACCCTACCAGTCCCCAACACACCACCTCCATCCCTGTCTACCAGCCCAGTCCCCAACACCACCCCCTCCTCCCTCCTGTCTACCCCTACCCAGCCCCAACACCACCACCTCCATCCCTGTCTAACCCCTTACCCGTCCCCAACACCACCACCTCCATCCCTGTCTACCCCTACCCGCCCCAACACCACACCTCCCTCCCTGTCCTAACTAAACCCGACCCAGTCCCCAACACCACCCCCACCCCCATCCCTGTCTACCACCATAATGTCCCTAACACCACCACCCCATCCCTGTCTACCCCTACCCAGTCCCCAACAGCACCACCCCATCCCTGTCTACCCCTACCCAGTCCCCAACACCACCCCCTCCATCCCTGTCAAACCCCTACCCGCCCCCCAACCCCCAACCACCTCCACCCGGGCCCTATCCCTACCCGGGTCCCCCCCAACACCCCCCCTTCCCTGTCTACCCCCCACCCAGTCCCCACCCCACCCCCCCTTCCCTGTCTACTCCACCCACCCAAAAACACCACCACCTCCATCCCCTTCTACCCCTCCCCAAAGGTCCCCAACCCCAAACCACCTCCATCCCTGTCTAACCCCTCCCCCCATTCCCCCACCCCAAACCACCTCCTTTCCCTGTCTACCCCACCCGTCCCCAACCCCAAAACCAAACCCCCAAACCCCTTTTGTCTACCCCAAACCCAGTCCCCCCAACCCCACCACCCCCATCCCTGTCAAACCCCTCCCCCCAGCCCCCCAAAAACCACCCCCTTTCCACCCCTTCTCCCCCAAACCCCATTTCCCCAAAAACCACCACCCCTTCCCTGCAACCCCCCCCCCACCCCCAACACCACCACCTCCATCCCTTCAAACCCCCCCCCAGCCCCCCACCCACCACCTCCTCCTGTCTACCCCTACCCACCCCCCAACCCCACCACCTCCATCCCTTTTCTACCCCACCCTCCCCACCCCCCACCCCACCCCTTTTTCCTACCCCATAATGTCCCTAAAAACCCCCACCCCCATCGCGGGCCCTCCCCCATAAGCCCCCTAACACCACCCCCCCCAGGGGCTGCCCTACCCCAAAATTTTCCCTAACCCCCCCACCACCCCATCCTGTTTACATCCATAAGGGTCCCTAAAAACCCCCACCCCATCCCTGTCCCCCCTAAGGGTCCCTAACACCACCCCCCCCAAATCGATTTTTTCTACCCCTTTGGGGTTCCCAAAACACCACCCCCCACCCCCCTCGATGTCTACCCCAAAATGCCCCCTAACACCACCCCCCCGCATCCAGGTTTACACCCAAATGTCCCTAACACCACCCCCCCCACCCAGGGTTTCATCCATAATGTCCCTAAAAACCACCACCCCCTTTCCCTGCCCTCCCCAAAATGTCCCAAAACACCCCCACCCCCCACCCCATGTTCCCTACCCCATAATGTCCCTAACACCACCACCCCCATCCATTTTCCCCCAAAAATGTCCCCTAACCGCCCTTAACACCCTGTGGTGAAAGTCCGGGAATAAACTCAAGGCCAAACTAAAGCGGAGAAAGTATTGAACACAAACCCACAACAACCCCCATCTCCTCCTCTCTTCTCTCTCTCTCTCTCTCTCTTTTTTTCAAATTTCCACCCCTTAATTCAAAACCCTGGGCCCCGTAACCCCAAAAAAACCCATCTCTCCCTCTCTCCTCAAATCCATCCCTACTTCCCCCCTGGTCGAAACCCCACAAAAACCCCATCTCTCTCTCTCTCTCTCTCTCTCTCTAATCCATCCCTACTTCTACCCTGGGTCGTAATAGGGTGTGTGTGTATATGGGATCCTGACTGACCTTCATGTATTCCTCCGAAGGCATGGAGTTTGGGTCGGACCCTCCTCTGGACCGTGTTGAGCAGCTCCACACAGCCCACCCTCTGCAGCTCCTTAGGAACCCGTTTTCTAAACCCCTCCCAAACCCAAAGAAGACAAAAAACCCTACATAAGCAGCAAAAATAACTAAGCAAAAATTTTTACTGGGTAAAGTTTTTGCCCTTTTCTTTTTTTCCATAGGTAAAGTCTTATCCCCAGTCCTACCCCTCTCTCTTCCTCTCTCCCTTTCTCCCTTTCTCCCTACTCCAGCACCAGCACCAGCCTTAGCTTAGCCCCAGCTCCAGCCCCAGCCTTAGCTTAGCCCCAGCCTTAGCTCAGCCCCAGCCTTAGTTTCCCCTACCCAAATCGTTTTCCTGATCTGTCACCCTGGTGTGAAATCGATTTTTCCCATAAACAAACACACCCCGCAGTAGCAGTACAGGCGAGAGGAAAAAATCAGCCCAAAAAATCCAAACCCAAAAAAGAATAAAAGAAAAGAGGAACAAGAAAAACCCTAAAGCTCAAAAACCTGAAGCTCAAAACTGAAGCTCAAAAACTGATAAATCAAAAACTGAAGCAAAAAAACTAAACTAAACAACTGATCCAAAAACCTGATGACAACCAATTTAATCAAAAAAATAAGCTAAAACAACTAAAGGGTTTTAAAAAAACAAAGGGAAAATAAACTAAAGCAAACAACTGAAGCAAAACAACTGAAGCTAAACAACGAAGCAAAAACCCAACTGAAGCTAAAAAAAACTGAAGCTAAAAAACCTGAAGCTAAAAAACTGAAGCTAAAAACTGAACCCTAAAAAACGGACCAAAAATACTGAAGCTAAAAAACTAAAGCTAAAAAACTAAAAGCTAAAAAACTGAAGCTAAACACTGAACTAAAAAACGAAGCTAAACAATTTAAAAAAACAACTGAAGCAAAAAACAACAACCCAAAACCCAACAAAGGAAAAAAAAAACTGAAGCAAAACAACTAAAGCTAAAAACTAAAGCAAAAACAACTGAATCTAAAAACTAAAACTAACAACTGAAGCTAAACAACTAAAACTAAAAAAAACTAAAGCTAACAACTGAACTAAACAACTGAAGCTAAAACAACTGAGCTAAACAACTAAAGCTAAACAAACTGAAGCTAAACAACTGAAGCAAAACAACTGAGCTAAAAAACTAAAGCTAAACAACCTGAGCTAAACAAACTGAAGCTAAACAACTAAGGAAAACAACTGAAGCTAAACAACTAAGGAAAACAACTGAAGCTAAACAACTGAAGCTAAACAACTGAAGCTAAACAACTGAAGCTAAAAAACTGAAGCTAAAACAACTGAAGCTAAACAACTGAGCAAAACAACTGAAGCTAAAACAACTGAAGCTAAACAACTGAAGCTAAAACAACTGAAGCTAAAACAACTGAAGCTAAACAACTGAAGCTAAAACAACTGAAGCTAAACAACTGAAGCTAAAACAACTGAAGCTCATCAACGGAGGTTCAACAACTGAAGCTAAAAAACTGAAGCTCAACAACTGAAGTTCAACAACTGAAGCTAAAAAACTGAAGCTCAACAACTGAAGTTCAACAACTGAAGCTAAAACAACTGAAGCTAAACAACTGAAGCTCTACAACTAAGGAAAACAACTGAAGCTAAACAACTGAAGCTCATCAACTGAAGCTCAACCACTGAAAGCTCTACAACTAAGGAAAACAACTGAAGCTAAACAGCTAAAGAAAACCAAATCATTTTCTACTGAGGGAGTAAACAAAGTTCCACTGTCAAATATAGAACCAGAGTGGTCGGGAACATTAGAACCAGAGTGGTCGGGAACGTTAGAACCAGAGTGGTCGGGAACATTAGAACCAGAGTGGTCGGGAACGTTAGAACCAGAGTGGTCGGGAACATTAGAACCAGAGTGGTCAGGAACGTTAGAACTAAAAGTGGTCGGGAACGTTAGAACCCAGAGGGGTCGGAACGTTAGAAACCAGAGTGGTGGGGAACGTTAGAACCAGAGGGTCGGGAAAACGTTAGAATCAGAGTGGTCGGGAAAACGTTCGAACTAGAGTTTTTCGGGAACGTTAGAACCAGAGGGGTCGGGAACGTTAGAACTAGATTGGTCGGGAACGTTAGAACCAGAGGGGTCGGGAACGTTAGAACCAGAGTGGTCGGGAACGTTAGAACCAGAGTGGTCGGGAACGTTAGAACCAGAGTGGTCGGGAACGTTAGAACCAGAGTGGTCGGGAACGTTAGAACCAGAGTGGTCGGGAACGTTAGAACCAGAGGGGTCGGGAACGTTAGAACCAGAGGGGTCGGGAACGTTAGAACCAGAGGGGTCGGGAACGTTAGAACCCAGAGGGGTTGGGAACTTTTGAACCAGAGGGGGGGGGAAGTTGAACCAGGTGGTCGGGAACGTTAAACCGGTGGCGGCAACGTAAACCAGGTGGTCGGACGTTGAACAGAGGGTCGGAAGTTAGAACAGAGGGGTGGAAGTAGAACAGGTTCGGAACGTAGAAACTGCGGGGAGGGGCTAAATTATGCAAAGTGATGCGTGTACAAATGATTGTTTGTTTAGACTTTAATGAATTTTTAAAATTTTATTCTAGGTAGTATTTTTTAGTAGCTATCAAGTAACCATTTTTAAGACTTTAATGAATTTCTTAACACATTTATTCAGGAGCTGTTTGAAGTAGTATAAGAAAATACACATCAACCAAAGTAATATCGGATGGATTTAAATAATGAGGGGCGGCCCCATTAGGCATGGTGATGAGGGGGTTGTGAATGTGATGGTAATCGACCAGAGGGGAGGGAGTGGGTCTAGATTCATGCCAAGGGACTTGGTCCATTTTCCGCAGAGACTGGCCCGGCAGTTGACCCCCGCTTAAACACGGCCTGCATGACACAGACACAACAACGGCTTCGTTATTAACAAGGGAGACAGTGAAATAAGCTTGTCAGTAGTTACAAGGAAGACAGAAATAGCCCGCATTTAGTTAACACAGGAGCTGAAAATAAGCTTGTCATTTTAACGGGGATCAGTAAATAAGCCTGCTAGTTAACAGGGAAATTTGAAAATAAACCTGTCGTTAGTTAACAAGGGATACGTAAGATGCCCTGTCAGTAGTTAACACAGGGCGTAAAAAACCCTGTAGTAGTTAACACGGGAGACGTAAATAAGCCCTGTCAGTATTAAACACAGGAGACAGTAAATAATCCTGCAGTTATTAACAGGGATACGTAAAATATCCCTGTCATTTGTAACACAGGAGACTAAAAAAGCCTGTCATTATTAACCAGGGAGAAGTAAAAAGCCCGTCGTTGTAACACAGGGAGAAGGTAAAATATCCCGCAGTAGTACACAGGAGACTAAAATAAGCCCTGTCAGTTGTAACCAGGGGACATAAAATAAGCCGCAGTTAGTTAACAGGGAGGCATAATAAGCCGTCAGTTAGTAACACGGAGAAGGTAAAAAAATCCTGTCAATGTAACACAGGGAGACAGTAAAATAAGTTTGTCAGTTGGGTAACACAGGACAGTAAAAGAAGCCCTGTCAATAGTTCAACAGGAGAAGGTAAAATTCCCTTCAGTTTGTTAACAAGGGGACAGAAAGATAAACCTGTCAGTTAGTTAACACAGGGAGACAGTAAAATAAGCCCTGTCAGTTAGTTAACACAGGGAGACAGTAAAATAAGCCCTGTCAGTTAGTTAACACAGGGAGAGAGTAAAAATCCCTGACAGTTAGTTAACACAGGGAGACAGTAAAATATCCCTGCAGTAGTTAACACAGGGCGAGGGGTAAAATAATCCCTGTCATTTAGTTAAAAAAACAGGGAGACAGAAAAATAAGCCCTGTCAGTTAGTTAAAACAGGGAGACAGTGAAAATAAGCCTTGTCAGTTAGTTAACACAGGATACGTAAAATAACCCTGCAGTTAGTTCCAGGGAGACGTGAAAATAAAATCCTGTCAGAGTAACCGGGAACAGAAATATCCCTGTCAGTTGTTAACACAGGGACATAAAAAAAGGGCCCTGTAGTTGCACAGGAGCCCAGTAAAATAACCCTGTCATTTTGTTAACACAGGGAACAGTAAAATAATATAAGTTACAAAAAAACATCTATTGAACCCTACACCAAAAAACAAGACCAAATGTAACACATTTCACCCACACACACACACACACGCAGGCAGCAGGCAGGCAAGCAGGCACATACATAATAATTTACACAATTTCCAAACACTAGGCACCAACTGACTGTATGATCTAACCCTCCCAAAACTGAAGCAGTGTGACTGACATCAGAGGGCCCCTCCAGGAGAGGGATCTAACGTCCCAAAACTGAGCAGGTGGTGCCTGACATCAGAGGGCCCCTCCTTCATCAGAGTGGATCTAACCCTCCAGGCTGAACAGTGTGACTGACATCAATGGCCTCCTCAGCAGAGTGGATCTAAACCCTCCAGAGAAGCAGTGTGACGACATCAGATGGCCCTTCTCAGGCAGAGGGATAACCCTCCCAGACTGAAGCAGTGTGATGACTTTCAGATGGCCCTCCTTCAGCAGAGTGGGATTAACCTCCCAGACTAAGCAGTGTGACTGAATCAGATGGCCCTCCCAGGCAGAGGGGAAATTAAACCCTCTCCAGACTGAAGCATGTGCCTGACATCAGATGGCCCTCCTCAGACAAGTGGATCTAACCCTCCCAGACTGAAGCAGTGTGACTGCCCATCAGATGGCCCTCCCACGCAGAGGGGATCTACCGTCCCAGCCCTGAAGCAGTGTGACTGACATCGATGGCCCTCCTCGCAAGATGGACTAAACCCTCCCAGACTGAAGCAGTGTGACTGACATCAATGGCCTCCTCATGCAGAGTGGATCTAACCCTCCCAGACTGAAGCAGTGTGACTGACATCAGATGGCCCTCCTCAGGCAAGTGGATCTAACCCTCCCAGACTGAAGCAGTGTGACTGACATCAGATGGCCCTCATCAGCAGAGTGGATCTAACCCTCCCAGACTGAAGCAGTGTGACTGACATCAGATGGCCCTCCTCAGGCAGAGTGGATCTAACCTCCCAGACTGAAGCAGTGTGATGACATCAG